GGAATAAATGACGTAACATACGTCATAATATGACGTTAGAATCACGTAATTATGACGACTGTCTGCTACCTGGGAAGTCGCAGCTGAATCAGAGCTACCTGTATCTTTTCGCTTTGCACAGTCTTATCCCATCGATGATAGACGCATGATTTAGCTCGTCACTTATCACCGCGTCGTCAGCAGTTAATAGAGTTTCAAAGATACCAGCATTCGCGTCGAAGCAGGACGCGTAAAGTATCGTATCTTCCCTGCCATGGAATTTGGCGAGCTTCCTCTCTAATTCGACGTGTATCTCTTGCGTTCCGCATATAAATCTCACGGAACTTAAACCCGCACCATATTTATCCAGTGCAATCTTTCCTGCGTTAATAACATCCCTGTTATCCTACATTTAAAGAATTCTTGTTATCCAATTTTTATAAAAACACTTTCATTTCCAATTTTTATAATATGTGAAAATATCACATTGTGCTCATTTGCTATAGTAATAATATGTTAACATTCGATTCGTTGTTCTTGTCTTACCGCAAGGCCCAGATAATTGTTGGCGCAAAAATTGAGCGCTTTCTTCCCATTCGATAGTACGATCTTCGTTCGTTGAGGCGAGGCAATTATGCGTTCGTTTTTCCATGTACCAGCTTTGACTATAGCTGCTAATTCAAGCTCGATGCAAGCAACTAAAGAGCTCGTTGTCCGCCCGATATTCCGTTTGACATCTTGAGATTTTAAAACTACATGAAAAAAATTTAAGTTACACAATCGTTTTAGATGTTACTCTGCAAATGATAGTCACAAAATAAACGCACTTTTAAAATTTCTATACATATTATAATGCAAAATCATTTATTCCTTTAGACCTGGATGCTGGCAACTGATTTTAGATGAAAGCAACATAGTAAAGTGATCCTAAAGCAGTCAAACCGGTTTTACATTAAGATGCAATAGCATATTTGTCGCGCTAAGCATACCTACTGTCGAACGATTATTATGCAATTACGTTTATAAAAATATTCAGTTAAACACATTTGTAAAACATGTTTACGATATAAATTTACAATCTGATCGTTTTTTAATAGACTCATATAAATGCCATCATACATTGAAAATAATACAGAATATTAAAATTGTAAGTATACATCTATCGAGCATTTTCAATTGTTGTTTTCTAATACAATTTTATCAATAAAATTTTTCTAAATACTGTTTATGTAGTATTGAGATTGTAGCTTCTAAGAAATTTTCATCGATGTATTTAGTCTATGATTT